TAGAAGGTGTGTGTGTGTGTGTGTTTGTGTGTGCGAAGGTACAGTCGAACTTTTATAGATTGAACTAGTTTTTGGTATTCATGAATTTTAATTAAGTCTCTATCTACAGTGAACTCTTTAGCAGGTTCTTTACAAAATGTATTAATTGGTAATTTCACCAAAATAAAAAAGGTTTATTTGTTATGTATTTGATAGAAATGAATTTAAAGAAATTAAATATTAATATTTGTTGTATTTTATTTATTGGTGAATACATAAGTAAACTCATTTCAAGAAGTATTCATTGGTGACTTTATGTTTATCTCTACTTTACATAAATTAATTATCTTTGGCGTCTTTATTTCTTGGTAAAATATTTAGGAAATTCATTCAAAGGTATTTATTTTCGAATTCATCTCAGGTAGTTCATTAATCTTCGATCACTGTTATGTTCCAGTTATAGAAGTTCGACTGTTCCGTTTTCCGTCCGGTGACAAGTATGAAGCTGTGTTGGTGTACCGCGATTCGTGATCTTTTGCCAGTTGACTTTTTCTTCTTTTTTCTACACAAAAAAATCATTTATTTTAAAGATTTTTTCTTGTTATAATTATAACTGCCGCTCGGTTGTGTTCGTTCGTGTTTAGTTTGAGTTATTATTTTTTTGTTTTTGTTTTCAGCTGTTTTTTATTATTGTTTTGACTGTGGGACAACGACAGCTTGTGTTTTATTTTATTTTTTTGCACAATGCAAATGAACACAATTGAGAGGCTTTATTTCAGAACAGATGCTTGCCTGGCAACACACAGTAGCAGTCACACAGAGTAACCGCTTTTCGTCGGCGTTTTCGTTTTCTAATGTATATATTTCACTTAATAGCAACTCTTTTTTATCATTTTATTTTTGAACTATTTCTCTGCTCTACGTATATTTTTGCTTCGCTTTTTCGGCACTCACTCACTCACACGCTCACAAACAAGACGACAGCGGCGACAACGCGAGAGAGTAGCTCGGTTTTTCGCAGCTAAACGCAGGCACTAAGCTAATATAGAGCCAGCAACTAACGGCGGATCGGCGGGCGAACCAACTCCAAGCAGCACTCGAAAACAAATGAAATTACTGCTGTGACTGTGACTGGGGAACACACAACAACCGTCCGGCGATCGCCAGTAAAAGCTCCGCGGCGAAAAGCTCTTCGCTCTCATGAGCGGAGCCCCCAGCCCCAGCCCCCGCCCCCTCCCGGCTTCTTTAGCTGGAATTAAAGAATGGAAAAAATAAGGCAAAACTGTGGAAATGCACACACAACAAGCTAGAAATGGGCGGGTAAATATAAATAAATAAATATGGTCTTATGTTGTTCAAACAAAACTCATTATTATTCACTTCCCGACGCTTTCATTGCTGGTGATCTGGCATTTGTACAAGTACAACAACGGCCACAAGCATGTACCACTGCTGATTGTGCCTAATTCGAGTGATAATAATGATAGCAAACACTAGTCCAATGAGCCGGAGGAATAGGAGAACGTTACACAGATACAGTGAACACTGGAAAGTGAATGAATATACACTGAAAAATTGACTAAGCATTGGTTTATTTAGTGGGAATTGAGAGGGAATTTATGTTTAAATTTATTGAGGATTTTAAATTTATTGAGTACTCTTTTTGGTTTAACATGGCGTATACGTAATCCAGATTTTTCTATGCGCCACTTTATTACGTATACGTAATTTTCTTCTTAGGTTTTAAGTGTGATTTTGGTATTCTTTATAAATTCCATTATTATTATGGATATTAATAAATTGTTTACAGGCAATTTTTGGATGAATTTACTGGGGATTTTGAATTTATTGAGTACTCTTTTTGGTTCAACATGGCGTATACATAATATAGATTTTTTTATGCGCTACTTTATTACGTATACGTAATTGTCTTTGTGGTTTTTAAGTGTGATTTTGGTCTTCTTTATAAATTCAATTATTACTATTATAGATATTAATAATTTGTTTACAGGGAATTTTTGGATGAATTTACTGAGGAGTTTAAATTTATTGAGTATTTTCTGAGTTTAACATGGCGTATACTTAATACATCTTTTTCTATGCCCAACTTTATTAAGTATACCTATTTTTCTTTATGGTTCCTAAGCGTTTTTTTTTTTTTTTGATTCCCTATAAATTCCATTAATATTATAGATATTAATTAATTTTGTATATCAGGAGCTGCGATTACTGTAGTAGCAAAACAACAAAATGTTTCGATAATCACTTGAGCAGCTCCTCTCTCGCTCTCTGGCTGCGGCACTTACCTGTATTATTAAATGATAACCAAATGACGGTGACAGGTGCACATCAAGCTCAATGATTCCGCAGCTCCTCCGGTTTTTCTGTGCTTTTTGTTCTGGGATCAGTTCGTCATGAGCGTAATTAGCATGCGTGGAATCCCTTTTTCATCAGCGATGAGTAGGGAGTTTTTCCAGCCAACGGACGTCATTGTTTTTACCTTGCAGATTGCGGCAAAAATGGCAAAAACTATTTATAGAAATCCGGCGACACCCGCATGTTGTCAAAACAAAAGTTTCATTATGGTTAGGCGGCCGATTCGTGTTGATTTAGATAAGCCCGGAACCCATTGCCCATAGAACTACAAGGCAATCCATGTTAGATATACTGTTGTTATCGATTCTGTGCTCTTTTTCTTATCACCCCTTGGACTTGGACTAAGTTAGATGGAGCGACTAACGGTGATATGTGGAATGCGTCAGCTAGTCACATAAAAATAGCCCTGTTGTCAAGGGTAGAAAGAGTTACGATTGATTTTACCACCTTGAAAATTTATTTTAGGAAGATAAAGGTATATTTATTTTATTTTGATAGCCCTTTTTAATTGCCTATAACTTGTTTTTAGGCTAGTTTATTATATCCATAACTTATACATTTTTGACAAAAAACCATAGACGGACTTATACATAAGGTAAAAAAACAGCATCATCTTTTCTTAAAAAACCAATATAAACTTAGTAACTTGTACTATTTTTTACTATTGTAGGGTATTACAATTTAAGTGAGATCTTTGTTACGCGGTGACAACCCTATAAAACATATATATTCCTGATAAGTATCAACAGGCGGATCTTTTAAGCCATGTCCGTTGAAAATTTATTTTTTTTCAAAAATGTACAAATTTTATAAGAGGTTACATCGTTAAAATTGTCAAAAATTGATAAAAATCCGAATATTTTTTAAATTTCAAATTGAGTATGCAGATTTATTAAACTACTAAAAACTAACATAGGAGTGATTTTCGAACTAAAATTAATGGTCTTTTGGCTTAGGTATGAGATTTTTAAGTTTAATTTGTAGATCATATTTTCATATAAAATATTGATAAATATTGGGTCAAAGATGATTATAATCCGAAGCCTATAATAATGTGAAGGAGTCATTTCCGACCCTATAAATCATATATATTCTTGTTCAGCATCAAAATCTTAATCTATCTAGCCTTGTTTTACAAAAATTTAATTTTTTCAAAATTTGGAAAACTTTATAAGGGGTTACATCGTTAAAATTGTCAAAAATCGACAAAAATCTTAATCTTGTTAAATTTTAAATTAAATATTCAGATTTATTAATCTAATAAAAACTAACACAGAAAAGTTTTCCTTTTTGGAATTAATGCATTTTATTACGAAGTTATGAGTTTTCAAAATTTTGTTTTTCTTAAAAATTACCTTTAAAAAATTCTGTTGTATATTGGGTCGAATAAATTAAACTACATTTTAATCGAATTCGGATTCACTCCTATAATTAAATTTCAAATTCCAAGGCTATGTATACTTTGGCTTCCAGAAGTAACTGTCCTTTCTTATTTATTTTATAAATACCCAACTTATATGCACATTATCATAATATACATACGTAGGTATTTTCAAAAAGTTCTCTATTTAATTTCCATACAATTTTACAAGCCAAACAAAAAAGTCCCCTTAAAAATTAATATCAATCAAAGATCCCTAAAACTTCCTAAATATTTTACTATGGCCTTAATTTAGGCCAAATTATTTAGCACTCCTTATTTTTTATTGGTTGCCCAAAAAGTTCCCCAATTAATGCAATAAAATCGGAGTCTTTCCTAAATCCAGGTTACCAATGCGTTCTTTGTCATCGCCCCCACAGAAGTGATTCAGTTTTCCTGCGAATAAAAGTGAAACGCCGCCCACAAAGTGACGCTGATAAAGAAGCCCTAACCCGTAACCTGGCAACAGGCAACAATATTTATTTTGTGAATCAAAAATGTGCTAATTGGGACGACACGTCCCAATCGTTGACCAAAAATTTACGTTGTTTACTTCGCGCCTGGCTGGAGGTGTCTCTCTTTTGCCAAAAAGATGTTTTTCGGTTAATAGTTTGGGCAAAGATTCCGAAATTGAAGAGGACTCGCTGGCAGCTGCTGACAAGTTGTTTATTTGCGGATTATGGCTTAATTATGAAATCGCAACTAATCCGAACTACACATAGCCCATATAAGCGATAATGAGTTGATTGGTATTTGCTTCTTGGCTTGCGATTATACATTTGGGGATAATCCAGGGCTGGTCTTACAAACTGGAACCTTTAACTAAATGGAAGGTGGGACTAATCGTTCAGTAAGTCAAGGCTCAACAAATCTTGGTTCCGTTTAATTTAATTACCACTAATAAAGCCCATTAGCGCTAAAACTTGCTTAAATAGTCGATTTCAGTTGTTTTTTAAATTCAATTAGCTTTGCTTCGTGAAAGGTTTAAAACTTGGATTTGTGCGCCAAAATATCGATTGGCTTAAAATGGTATCGATTGTTACAATGTATATTTGGTATATTTTGTTGGAATACATTTTAGTTTAGGTCAACGGTCACACCAAATTCACAGAAACATCGATTGTCGAAAAAACATCGATGAATAAGAAAATTCGAAAAATATCGATAGATCGATGTCTTGCGCACCTCTAACACTCTGGCAACAACAAAAAAAAAAAACCTAAAACTGGCAACACTGCGCTCGGTCGTTTCGCTCGTCAAAAGTGGCGAAAAATAGTGAAAAAATTGTCAAACTTTGGTGAAAAGTGTCGCTTTGTGATGTTTGTTGTGTTTGCCGATGAAATTGCATTGATTTGCTCAAGGAAAAGCGTGAAAATCGAAGCTGCAAACCTGATTTTGGAGTAAAGAAGAAGAGCGCATTTTTTCATCGTCGTAAAACACGTACATACAGACACACACACATGTATTTATATTTTTATATATATGTGTGTGTATGAAACGCGCGGGCGCGAGAGAGCAAGCGAGTGAGAGAGAGGCAGCGGTAGTTGTGTGCGTGTTTTTGTGCGTTTGTTTTGTGTCGAGAGCGAGAGAGCGGCGAATGTGAAAGCCAAAGCAGAAAAACCAAGAAATAAGTGAACGAAAATAAAAACGAAAAATCGCAATCTCCACCCCTGTTGGGAGTGTTTCAGCGTGTTATTTGTGTGTTTATCGAAGTTATTGTGTGTTTTGTGTTTTAATTTCGCGTGGAAATCGAAATGCTAGCAAAATGCGACACCCCGCACGCGGATTATTTATTGGCGAAGAACAACCCCGGCCGAGTAACTGAGCCTGGAATCTGGGAATCTCTGGATATTTTGCCACACAAAAGGTAATTAGAGAGATCGCCGCTGCGATAAAGGCGTCGCCGCCGCCTGCTGACGGATGGATGACTCACACACGCTTGCACTATGTGCAGCTGTGTGTGTGTCTCTGTGCATGCCAGATATTGATTTGGAATGCAAAAAAATGACAGGAGATACATTACACACACACTCTCTCATGTCACCTCATTTCCATATTTTACACACAAACCCGCACTCATGTCTCCATACATATATATTTTAGTTACCTTTGACGACTAACCTTAGTGAGTAGTTTTTAGAGATTGTTGTTTTCCAGTCGCAGAACGAACGGAACGTTGTTAATTATTATCATTCACTCGATAATGCAAATTAGGCGGTACAACAAATACTGTTAGTTTTGTGGGACCAGGCTACAGTGAAGCCTAGATAAGTAGTATAAACTAACAAGTTGCATATTTTCGTAGTTTAAAATTGATTTTAAATAAGTAAAATAAATAAGTAATGTTGTTTTTATTTTCCTTTATTTGTTAGCTTAAGTTTGTTTAATTTTCTAAAAATCTGAATTCATTATAGATTTTAAATAAGGGATTTCATAAATATAATATTAAATGCCTGAAGAGATCTAGCCTTAAGGTATGCTTTAAAACATGGAAACTCTTATTTAATTATTTTTTTAGCCTGTAAGGAATATGCATATTAAAGCAAACAATTCTGTACAGGAACATTTTTAAAAGGTTCAATTTACCAAGGCTGCCCTGTAGTTTAAGGTCCACTACGACGTTTTCCCATTACTTACCACCTTTTGCCACCCATAAACCAAACGGTAAATGACAGTCGCTGCCACTCCCACACACACACACACCCCACAAAAAACACAGGCACTCAGCACACAGACAATGGCAAAACAATAATAATAATAAGGCAGGCAGCATCGATAAATAAAGTTTAATGTGTGAGACCAGTTAATTGCTTTTGTTGTCGCCTCAATTCTAAATCAAATTGAGTAGCTCTCGCTCTCGCTCGCGCTCTCTGTCTGTCTCTCGCTCTGGCGCTCACATGGCCAAGTGTTTGTATAACTAAAAACTGTTGTTGTTGGCCGCTGGCTGGCTTTTAATAAATTATACAATAAAATGAGAAGCGATCAGAGCAGGCAGCGGGAGCTAAAAATCGATTGCCCCGGCTGCTGGTGCTGCTGGTGCTGCTGATGAATAATTACAAAATAAATATATATATTTATACAATAGGCTGTGTATTTGTTGACGCCATTTTAACCATCAAAAAGGCAAATTCCAAATCCCATGTTTGCGTGTGTGTGTGTGGGAAACTACGCGCCAAATAGCATTGAGTTTCGAGGCGCAAATAAAATGAGTAATTGCGCATATTAAAATTCGCCTTTCGAAAAACTCGGCCCATTTGACACAGCCACTGAGCCGTGAGCTAATGCGGCGTTAATTCGCTTATTCGAGAGATCTTGAATGGGTTTTCGAAAATAAACAATTGAGCGAATGCATTTATACCCTCGACTGATTTTCGCTGAACGCACCTCGCTTAAATGCGATCAACAATTGCCATAACTATAAATATATACCATCTGTCATAGACTATAAGTTATAATTGGTAATTATTATAAGGTATGGCCAATTATAATAATAAAATTTCATAGATCGGTAAGATAAATATTTTATATGCGCCCAAAGGTGTGATTTCATTACCTTATTCCTTTTAATAATAAAACAAAATACTTTATGTTCTAATCAAAGTTTTATTTGTAAGAATATGAACTTTTTTTTGCAAGTATTTTGTTAGTGAGACATAGAGATCTCAAAACTTTTATCATCAATCAAATTATATTTTTTGGGAAATATTAGAGTTGTCTACAAAGAGTTGATTTTATTTTTTTATTTTTTATTAAAAGTCTGTAGAACTCCCGCCCGCAGCGAACAATAGCGCTTAGCGGGCAATCACTGTACGTGCGTGATTACTATTTGTTTCAGTGGCCGACACAAAAATAATAGTTTACATTGTTGTTCCGCTCGCATTGTTGTTACTGTTTTTTGAAGTATTTACATTGTTTGCGGCTATTTGTTAGCGTTTACACCTTTATTTAGAGTGCGTGTGGGGAGAAGAGGCTGCAGCTGCCGTTTACTGTGTTAACTGGGTTATTTAGTCTTTACCTTGCCTTTTGTTACCTTACAAACCACCACCATCAATCACCACTACCAATGCAGGACAGATGTCCACACACACACACACACTCTCGAGTATAATTTAGTTTGTGTTTCGTGGCAAATTGGACATCGAGCTGCTCTCAGCTTTCAATGCTCATTCATAGGAGAGCAACCCACACCCACACCATGGCACCCTTCGCATTTATTGGCGCGCACATTTTTCATGTTTCACCTTTGGCTGCGTGTTTTGATTTACACACAGCACGCACACCAGCAAAGTACTCCCCCGCGTGCGCTCTCTTTTTGTGTGCGTCTCTCATTTGTTGATTCAACCTTTTCAGCTGCTTTCTCTGGGAGAGAGTAATGATGAAAGAGAGTGAGAGACAGCTTCGCTGCTCTCTTTGTTTGTTGCTGCCTGCACACACACATGTGTATTTATTCAGGCATTTTTGCATAATTTCATAAAAAATTTACATATTTTATGTCGACCCGAGGCTGAGAGTTCGATTTTCCCCGAACTTGTCAATCTTGTTTGTAGGTATGCAGATAGTTGTAGTTGTCTCTCTCGCCGCCGCTTGGCATCTGCCTCTAGGTGTGTGTGTGTGAGTGGGTGCTGCTGCTGCTGCTGCGTGCTTGTTGCTGTTATTGTGATTGCCGTGCTCGTGTTTATGGCTCTTAATCGTTCGGCAAACCGATTCGTTACCTGACTCTCGCTCTCTCCTCTTCCACTTCCTCCACTCCCCCTACCACCCACCTACCGCAGCCGTCTCGCTCTCGTGTGCTTGACTTTATCTTCTCAATTACTCGCAATTTGCAAGTTTTGTGCTCGCGCCGCTTTAGACGGGTTATTGGCATGCAGTGTGAAAGAGACGGCTACTGAGAGAGAGAGAGAGGGAGATAGGTTTTGTGTACACAACAAGAAAAGTATAATTAGATGTCAATTTCAATCAATTAACCAATTTAAACGCAAGTCTTCGTATCACTTAAGCAGCCGCAACGTGTAATTGTGCGATTAAAAAGATATGCTGTCATCCATGTAAAACTACAGTTTATTTCGGTAATCGATCCATTTTATAAGCGAAATATCTTTAAAAAGTTATTATTTATTCGGTACAAAAAATTAGTTTGTAGTCAAATTACATTTTATTAATCAAATAATAGCTTTTTTAAATTAAATTAAATTTAAAATTTATAAATTCCCAATAGAAAATAGTCAGAATGTTTTATAAATTTGTAAATCAATATATTATTATAATATAAAGTCCAAATTGAAGATTAATTCATCGGCAAATTACACAGCAAATGATAATTAAAATTATTTTTATTATTTGAGTTTGAAAACCAATTAGATAAAATTTTTGGAATAAAATTTAAATGAGGGACTGAGCAATCTCTATTAAATTTTAACTTGATCTAATCCATACAAGTACAAAACCTACACATATTGTAAGAATAATTTGTTAGCTTTTAAAATAAATGTATCATTAACGTTAGTTTATATTTATTTTATAGTATATTTATATTTCGGGCAGTGCCGTGTATTCCATTTCATTTTTTGTGACCCATTCTTCTTATTCAACGTTCTTGTACATTTTGAGCTTGTTTTGATTTCTTAATCTTTTTACCATAATTGATGGCAATTAAATTCAAAGGTGTGTGAGTGCCAGAGTCTCGTTTTTTCCCCCCTCTTTGACGACGACGATGACGCTGCACTCGTTTCGTCGTTATTCGTTAAGAGATTGTTCGTTCGGTTTTGGCCCCTTTGTCACCCCCGCAGCTTCCTTTCCGCCTCTTCCCCCGCCTCTTTTGCTGTTACCACCCTCTTCACGCATTCCACGGTGTCTCTTGCTTTGTTGTTGCTCTCGAATTACAGTGAAGCCGCCAATTAAATGCCGACGATTTAATTTCAGGATACAAATCGAATCTCGGTAATTTGAGCATGGACACAATGGAATTCACCAAGGCTTCCATTTACAACCATATTGTGCATTATACAAGGTTGATCCCTTGAGATATAAAAGCCGATTTCGATGCTTTCAACAGAAATCTTATTGGGTTATTTAAAAAACCCCGGGGAATTGAGTTGAAGCCTTTTTATAAAATCTATAAAGCTGGAAATAAGTATATCTTACAAACCAAAGTATATCTTTGGATCAAAATTAAATTAAACCTCTTTTCACATCCAAATTCATACGTAAATAAAATGTTAACAAATATACATTAACTAACAAGTAGTATATACTTTCTATCTATAAAAGCAAAAAGCTCAATTGACAGTTCAATTCGTCGCAATTATGATGAAATTAGGCTTTTAGGTATAATGACTCATATGAAATGATATTATTATTTTGCTCGTTGATTGGTAGATTCATTTAAATTTGACATCTTTGCTTAACCAAATACTAAAAAATTATCGCAGTTAATTTTGTGGGGTGAATAAATTATACAATTATTACACAAATCGTGGAAACTTTTAACCTAATGTATAGCTAATTAATATCACGATGAACAAGTAAATGTACAAATATTTAAATATCAAGAGATTTACTATATGATAACTAAGTATTACAAAATATTATGGCTTTCATGATGCTATTAATTTCCCTTAAATTTAAATTAAAAGAAGTGTCATTCACGTTACTAATTAATTATCAACCACTGTGCCGACTGATTTTCCATTTGAATTTGCTCATTTCGCCGTCGTCTGCATATCATCACACTTTTTGTCATCGTTCTGTGGGATTTTATTGATTCGTTTAAATATTTATTCATGCCAAATTCTCCTTGGGCCTTTGATGTTGTGGTTGTTGCTCTTATTGTTGCTGCCATTCGGTTGGTGGCACATAATTAAAGCGATTTAGTTAATTGATGTCAACACACAGCGTAGTTAGCATTCATCGGCTGTCTGCGCATTTTCCCCATCTCAGAGACACAATTTGTGTGCAATTTGTTGCCGAGTGCTTGTGATTGTTTCTTCGACATACATACACACAACCTAACCCCAACCCCCCACTCCCCACCCACTGCCCGCTGCTTGGGTATTAAATTGTTGACAATTGTTTTGAGCTTGAGAGAATTAACCTTTAGTTGCTGGTTATGTCATGATATTTGCCTAGTGTTTTGTATTCGTTCGTTCGTTTGTTAGCCACAAATATATTGCATCGCCTTTGTGTAGTTTAATTGCTTTTTATTTTACGATTATATCACCCATCCAGCCGGTGCCTTTTCAAATTGCAATAATCCCATCTTGATTGATTTTCACAAATATGTTAGGTTTAATAGTGAAAATCTATATTTACGGCTTGGGTAATTCGCCTCAGTAGTCATCAATCACGGGGGGTAATGGAATTGAATTGGAATCTGTCAATAACAGCCAAGTTATCACATAACAGAAGTTATTAATACGATTGGATAATTGAATTCAGCTGGGTGCCCAATGAACTAGGCTTTGAATTATTGTAATTTCAATTAACTTGTTATTAATTTATTCAAATGTAATGTGTCTAGGAAGGTATTAACTCTTTTAATACTCAATATTTCACAAGGCTAAGGAATCTAATTTAGCGTATAAGATAATCTGAGTACAAGGCAAGTTCATCAGGTACACTATTTAATAAACACAAATCACTTGCATCACTTGGCCGGATTAAGATCTCTATAAAGTGTTTTTAAACACTCTCCATCCCACCCAACGCTGACCATTGATTTCAAATGCAAATTATCCATATGCATATATTCAGTTATTTAGTATTCAATCCACGGCAACTCCACAGCAATTAGTGTAATCGCCGTGCAAATACGGAATCGATGGAGGAGTGTTGTCCAATTAAGCCCGGTTTAGTCCCAGTTCCAAGCTTACATCATGCCATCTCGGCCGGGCCATAAAGATACAACTCAATGGTAGGAAACAAAACCAAAGCAAAAGGCGATATAAAAAATAAAAACGAGAAAAATCGACAAATAAAATCACAAATCGCAAAACAAGCTAGAGACAGTAGTTTTCAGTGAGACTTTAGTTCAGGGCACAGTGGTTAGCAATCGGGATTAAATTGTAACTTAATTATAATTTTAAAACACGTGCAGTGCTAAATCACTATTAAATCTAGTAAAGTCAAAGCTTAATTGCCCTTGGCTTTAAAATCCTATAAATGGATACAGAAAAAGATTAGTAAAATGAAGTTATTAAAGTATTATTTTTACCAAGTCCTGTTTGTACACAATCTTAGTGCCCACTGTGCTTTAGTACCTATGTGTGTGTGTGTGTGTGTGTGTGTGTGTGTGTGTGTGGTGAGGTGCACGAGTGCAGCTTGAATTGACTTGCTTGGCTTGGGAGCCGTGTGTGTGTGCAGTACAGTTGACAAGATTGACTAACTAACGAGGCAGGTAAACCAGCCAGGTAAACTAACTGACTGCCAAACACCTTTGAGTGGAAACCGGAGGCGAAACGGAAAACAATTACGCCGCACTGACTGAGTCATGCATTTGGGAAATGTGGGAAAAAGGAAAAGTTCACGGGAATGGGAGTGGGAAGTGGCTGTGGGTGTGGGTGGGGGTGTGGGTCACATACATCCAAACTTGAAAGTATTTTCACCTCATTTCGAGTGTTTAAGCGCGCACAGAAGCGCACCGGAAGAAAAACCTTATTATATAAAGTCAATTCAATTCTTTTAGGGTCTTTAAAAGTATGCTATACAAAAATATTTTGCAATAAACTTTATAGCCTTTTCCTTAAAGACAGCAATTCTAATTTGTTTATTTATTGCCACGAAAGGTATCTTAAATGTAAGTTTTAATACATTTAATTGAATAATTTACAATATTATTTAAACCTTTTAAACATTTTTTAAATCTAAGAGTATTGAAATTTGAAATTGAAATTAAGTTTCAATTTTTGGGAAATGATTAAAACAGGTACATATATAGAATAAGTATATAGATGGGAAACTTTAGAGAATCTGTAATTATCTGATTAGTTTTAAGAATTTTCTACTGTGCACCACTCACACTCACTCATGCACTCATACACACTCACCACACACCCACAAACACGTACATACACGCATAATCATCGCACATCGTCACCAACACACACTCTCAAACACTCGAAAAAGTCAACTTTCAACTTGTTTGCCCAACTGCGACGAAGCGAACTAATAAATTTCTACTTTTTGTTTTTCCCCCTCCCGCCTCCCACTCCCTCCCAACAATCTCACCCGAACTCCACCCCCCCCTTGATGATTTCTTTTCGCAGATTTTTCAAGACGCAGACTTAAGAGAGAGAGAGAGAGGTGGAGTAGAGTAGAGTGACGATGATGATGATGTTGCGATAATGATGATGGCGCGATAATGATGCTAATGATAATGATCCAGGCAGCAACAACAACTAGAGCCACTACAAATGAGAAAAGTTGCCGCCGCGAAAGTACAGCAATGTGGAAAACTGTGAATTCGTCGACCAGAAACTCCCAGAAACGCAGAAAAACTAAACGCGCAAAAAGAAGAATTTTCATCAGGCCATAAAACCAACAACAACCATAACTGAAATAGCAACAAGAACAAAGGAAAACTGTCGTAAAAAAAAGACGCAGAAGAGGCAGCAAGGAAAACCCACCACTTAACAGCAGAAACTGTAAGAATTTCAATTTCCAGCAAACAAAAATAAGAAAAAGAAAAAACTCAAGCAACAACAACAACCCAAAACGAGAAAATCCTGCAAAGACAAAACAACAAAGGAAAAGAAAAAGTTCACGTTCGAAGTAGAAAAACCACTTAAAACGTCGATGACAACTAAACCCGCGGGTGTGAGGGAGATAGCAGCAAGAGAAGTGCAACAGAGAGGGAGAGCCGTTGAGAGAGCAGGAGTCTCTCTTGCAATCCCCAAAAGGAGTTTGCGAGAGAAGAGAAGAGAGTGAGAGCGAAGGAATAAATTGAGTTTAAGGAGTAGTAGTTATGCCTCAAAAATCCCATTCTTATTTTTTTTTTTTTTTGGTTTTTCGTTAACTGCACACGTTTAGTGGTGGCAAGGCGTGTAAAAGTGGTGGTGTGATGCCACCGCTGCCGCGGGTCAGTGCAGTCAGCTTGGATATTTTTCCACTAGAAACTATAATTGGTAAAAAGATATTTTCATTAATGTGATTTTTGTAAATGTTATAATTGTCCGTTAATACGTGGAAATCACTTCCATTTTCCATTTAATTGAATTCAAAAACTATAAAACTATATAAATAGTGTTCCCGTTGTCCTTTGTCCATCTAATAGATTTAAGCACCTCCCAACTATTTGGCTATTTTTTGTAAGGCCGCTGCCAACACTGGCGGGCACACAAGACGCAGAAGGAGCAGCTGCAAATGCTATTGCACCTTTAGCGCGCTTCTTGTCCAAGGAGCAGGAGAGAGTCAGAGAGAGAGAGAGAGAACAGCCAAGAGAGTGGGTTTGCCTGAGTGAGAGAGAGGGAGTGGGAGTGGAAAAGCGGGCGAACGCGTTCGAGCGAGAGAGAGCCGTACAAAGCGAGGCTCTGGAGCGGCTACGTCACCTTCGGGCTTTGTATTTGTAATTCGCAAAGCAAGGAGAACGCAAGGAGAGCGCGAAAAAAATGCGAAAATAAGTAAATAAATACAACCAGAAGAAGTGCAAGAAGTGAGTGTAGGTGCGGGGAGAGTGGAGCAGGAGCGAAAAATAAACGAGTTGCCAAAGGCGACAACAACAAGGAAAAGGGGCGCAAAATTGACGCATTCCAAACGCGATTGTTGTTGTTTAATGCTTGTGTTTGTTTGTGTTGTTGTTTGTGCTTTTGCTAGTACTAAATACCGGTCTTTTTTAGTTGGCCTCTCTTTTACATCAACCGAGTTTGTGTGCATCTTTCCACAGTGACGATGTAGCATCTGCAAGTCTCCACGTAAATCGAACGGGAAATCAATCGTTATCCAAAAATCCTTCCTCGTCATTCGTAATTGCAATTCAAAATCAAAAATTGAAGAGGCGGAAAGCAAATGCAGATGCAAAGGCAACAAGCGCTAAGTAAATGCTACCATGGGCCGCTCCAAGTTTCCCGGCAAGCCATCCAAGTCGATCAACCGTAAGCGGATCAGTGTCCTGCAGCTGGAGGATGAGGCCACTGCCACCGCAGGCGCCTCGAATCCGAGTCCGCATTCCGATCCCCCGCCGCCTTTAGAGCAGCCTCCTCCGACGCCACCTCAGCAGACGGAGTCTCAAACGGGAGCCGAATCCGCGCCAGCGCGCGAAAAGGGCGGCCACAACAATTGTGATAACGATGAGGACGATAATCCGCCGGGCGCCGGTGCCTCGATCTCGGGCAATGCGACCGGATCCTCCTCATCCTCCACCTCGGAAACCACGGGCAATGGCTCGAGTTCCAGCTCAGGATCCGGCTCCGGATCGGGTTCGGGTTCCACCAATGGCAACGGAGTAAATGGTGGTACTCATCACAAAAGTGCAACCAACGGAGCGGAGCAGGATCAAAATACAAATGGTGATAAGAGTAAAAGCAGTTCGAGGAGAGTTTCCACGGGAAGTCTAGTGGGAATAGGAACCTCTGCTGGAGCAGCGGCTAACGGAAAGCCCTCGACAAGCTCTGGGAAAGCGTCAGGAGCTGCTAGTGGAAAATCTACAGGATCATCTGCGGGCAAGTCTTCGAGGACCGCGACATCGTCAGGGATCTCTTCAGCCAGATCGTCGGAAGTGCTAGCCACCTCTGTCTTGCCTTCTGCAGCCAATTCTGGAGTACCTGCTGGAGCAACAACCTCTGCAAAGTCTCAAGGAGCATCTTCGGAGGTATCCGGCTTTGGAAAGTCTCTCAGCTTAACCATTAGTACATCGTCCGGAAAGTCTAGCAAAGGAACTACTGCTGAAGCCACCTCTGGAGCAGCATCTCCCAGACCCGGACTGTCCCCCGGTGCAGCGTCAGCTCCATCTGCCGGATTACTCTCGCCCGGAGCCATCTCCCCAGGCGGTTCCTTTGCAATAAGCGCGGCATTGCTGCGCGCCCGCAAGAATGGCAACAAGAAGTTCAAGAATCTAAACCTTGCCAGGGCCGAAGTAATGCTGCCCTCCACCTCCAAACTAAAGCAGCAGCAGCAGCAGCAGCAGTTGCAACTCAACTGCCCAGTGGCGGAGAGCCCCTCCTCCTCAACCCCAGCCTCCTCCGCGCCGGCAGCCACCGCTTGTCCCTCTGCGCCAGAGGCGGGAACGTGCGAGCCGGTCGAGGAAGCCGCCCCGGTAAGTTGATTTTCAGATTTCCAGCCGGGTGTGCTGGCTGGGTGCTGGTCGCGGGTCGCGTTTCCCCTTGCTTTTATTTTTATGAATATGTTTAAGCCGCTTTTCCCGCCACCTTAAGTTTTTAAGCTCCGCAACTGATTCGAGTTGCGAGTTGCGAGTTGCGTGCACCCTTCACAAACAAACACTCCGCACTCCGATTTGCGATTCCCGCAATGTAAATACGAGCAAGAGGAACCCCCTCAAGTTGGTCTGGTCTGGACGGGTCTGGTCTCTGGCCTGGTCACCCCTTTCTGCCATGCCATTGTTACCTGCTCGCTTACCTGCTTAATTGGCTTTTATGACGTTTTAGCGCTTGCAACTCAACTTGCTTCCACATATGTATGTGTGTGTGTGCGTGTGTGGCTGCCCCAGACGGCTGACGGCCATGTGACGGTGATGGCAATGGTGGCGGTGGTGGTGGTGGTGTCTGTGCCCCTGCTTATACTCATACTTACTGCTTAGTAACTTGTTTTTTTGCACCCATAGCCCCTTTTCAGAGCCTCACTTGCTTCTTGTCCTTTGCATGCTTCTTTGTGTTTTACTTAACTTTACACGGGAAGAAACTATTGGTTAATGCTTAATAATCCCATATATGATAACGAAACTATAGTAAAAGATCTTTAAAAACGAAACTATTGGTTCTATGGTGCCCCATTTACTTCAAGTTAAGGATTATATTTATTTGATTATACTAAAGGTGTTGGAAAAACAATTTTACTATGTGCATTAAAAAGGTCACTTGCTTAACCTTTAGTCAAAGTGAACTGCCGCAAACCCCATTTTATTCTTTTAATTTATGGTTTATTAAGTTAAAAGTTATCTCTTACATGACCCGTTGAGTAAACCAATTGCAGTATCAAAAAATAAGATAATTAACCTTTTTATAATCATCTTTAACTAACTCTTATATTTTAAAAAACAAAATAAATGTATGATTTATATATATAAAGAGAAAAGTATTAAATTCTTACTGTGTGTCCACTTTGCCTGCTTTTGATTTTGCCTGTATTGCTTTCCGCTTTTCGCATTTTATGAGTCCGTAGTTAGTTGCATGAATTATTGATTGGCCGGGAACCCCTCCCTCAGGTTCTCCCTTCAACAACCCTCGCTAACCCTCTTGTTTTGTGTACTTTTCCAGAAGCGAGTCGCTAGCGAAATGCCCAATGAAGGCGCCCTGGAAGCCCCTCCATCGAGCTCTGCATCAGGGTCCAATGGTGCAGGATCGGGAGGACCAGCTCCAGGTGGTGTTCCAGCACCCGGAGCAGGAGGAGCAATAGCTACTGGCAATAGTATCCCCAATTCAGGATCAGGAGCAGGAACTGGAGCTGGAGGAGCAGCAACAGCAGCAGCGACAACAACGGCAGCCAAGCAAAAGAAGACGGTGACCTTCAGGAATGTGCTGGAGACGAGCGACGACAAGTCGGTGGTGAAACGATTCTATAATCCGGACAATCGCATCCCTTTGGTCTCCATCATGAAGAAGGACTCGCTGAACCGGCCGCTGACCTACTCCCGCGGCGGCGAGTGCATCGTGCGGCCTTCCATCTTGTCCAAGATACTCAACAAGAAGAACTCCAACATTGACAAGCTCAATTCGCTCAAGTTTCGATCGGCGCCAGCTTCGAGCTCTCAGGACTCGGGAGTAGGTTCGTCTCCCAATGTGTTTGGTTTATCCCGCGCCTTTGGCGCTCCCATGGAGGAGGATGATGACGAGCAGGGTGGTGTAACCTTTCGCCGAAACGAAGATCAAAACAACAAGGAAATGGACGACGAAATGATGGACGAAGATGAGTGTGAGGAGGATGCGGAAGACGAGGAAGATGACAACGATCAAGAAGACCTTGATGAGGCAGCCTCCGATAAGAGCGCGGAAACAGAGAAGAGTGAAGGAGGAGCTGAGGACAGTGAAGAGAAGCAGCAGCTGGTCATGGACTCGCACTTTGTGCTGCCCAAGAGGAGTACCCGATCCTCGCGCATTATCAAGCCCAATAAGAGGCTGCTAGAAGAGGGGGCCATCAGCAAGAAGCCTCCGCCTCCGCCCAAAAGCCTCTTTGGGGGAGCTTCCTCGGTGTCCTCCACCTCAGCTGGTAGCCTCAAAATCCCCAGCTTTGGAAGCCTTAAATCAAATACCAGTGTAGCCGCGAGCTCAAGCTCAAGCATCTTTGTGCTGAGGCAACCGCGCTTGCAGTTCCAGGCGGACAGCAAGCTAGGACCCAGTGCCATTCCCACGACGCCAGCAGCAGGAGTAGGAGCCCTGACGGTGTCCACCTTCGGAACGCTAGCAGGTCAGAGCAGCAGTCCCAGCACTTGTGCCGTGTGCTGTACGACGGTCAAGGAAGTGACCCAGGCCCGTAAGTACGGAGTTGTGGCCTGCGACGTCTGCCGGAAGTTCATCTCGAAGATGACCAAGAAGTCTATATCGGCCACTTCGAGCAGTGCCAATGCCAATGCTGCCTCCTCTTCGACGAGCCACCAGCAGCAGCAGCCGCAGCAGCTGCAGTGCAAGGGTAGCGAAGGTACCGCCTGCAGCTTCCACTCGGGAAAGAGCCAGTTGAAGAACTTCAAGAAGCTGTACAAGGAGAGATGCTTGGCCTGCTGGCTGAAGAAGTGTCTCATCTCCTTTCAGCTTCCGGCGGCGCACAGGAGTCGTCTGGGTGCCATTCTCCCAGTAGGAATGCGGCCAGAGGCCAATTCCCGAGAGGATAAGATCTCCACGGAACTGCTATCACCCACAGGTAGCTTGAGATTCGCCGCCTCTGCAGTCTCCACGACCTCCGCCTCATCTTCAACTTCAACCTCTGGCGTCAAGTGGAAGTCTAGTCCGGACTCTACGTCAACTCTGCCCACGATTAAGGCCAATCCATTGGCGGAAAACAATGTGACATTTGGCAGCACTCCTCTGTTGCGTCCCGCTATCCTGGAAAAGCCGCTCTTCCTCAAGATAAGCAATGCGGCGGACCAGAAGCTTACAGCTGGTGAGGCGATCAGTCCCAGTCCGTCGGCGAGGAAGGCTTCAATCAAACAGGAGAAGGCCAAGGAGAAGGAGAAGGAAAAGGAGATGGAGCAGCAGCAAAGTGAAAAGCCCCTCAGTCCCGCCTTGGCAGTGGCCAAAAAATCAGCAGCTTCAGCGGAACCTGTATCTACGGAGTCCCAGAAGGAGGAGACGCCGCAGACAGCAGCTGCGTCTGCACCATCATCTGCTGGATCCTCTCAGGCTGCAGCAGCTGTTCAAGCTCCAGAAGTTACTCAAGGTGAAGCCAGTAATGTTCCAGGGGATGGTCTGAAGCGTCAGAGGATTGACTTGAAGGGCCCGCGAGTGAAGCATGTATGTCGCAGTGCCTCCATTGTTCTGGGCCAACCCTTGGCTACCTTCGGAGAGGATCAGGAAGAGGTTGATGAGCAAGAGCGCCAGGAGATTGCATCGTCCATCGTTGGTTCAGAGCCAGCGACGACTAATCCTGCTCCAGTGACGGTTACAGATGAGAACGACAACTGTGCCACCTGTAAAACGCCGCCTGTTGAGGAGCCCAAGCCCAGTAAATCCTCGCCAGCAGAAGTAAAAAAGGTAGCAACAACTGCCGGAAAGGAGGGAGGAGCCACAACAACGGGAAAGGTTACCACCAGGACAGTGGTTGCGGCCAGCAAAAAGCAGCGAAACGGAGACATTACCTCCTCCTCCATTTCCGTCGTTACCCAATCCCAGAGTCAAACGCAAGGACGCAGGACGAAGGAACAGAGGCAGCAGCAGCAACGCACCCTGATATCAATCGATTTCTGGGAGAACTACGATCCGGCAGAGGTGTGCCAATCGGGCTTCGGTTTAATTGTAACGGAGACAGTAGCTCAGCGGGCGCTGTGCTTCCTCTGCGGCTCAACAGGTCTGGATCCGTTGATCTTTTGCGCCTGCTGCTGCGAACCGTATCATCAGTATTGTGTCCAGGATGAGTACAACCTGAAGCACGGCTCCTTTGAGGAGACTACGTTAATGGGCAGCCTGCTGGAGACGACGATTAATGCCTCCACCGGAGGAGTAGGAGGAGGATCTTCATCGCTCAATCAGCTGACACAACGCTTAAACTGGCTATGCCCACGCTGCACTGTCTGCTATACCTGCAACATGTCCTCCGGATCGAAGGTCAAGTGCCAAAAGTGCCAGAAGAACTATCATAGCACATGTCTGGGCACCAGCAAGCGACTCCTGGGTGCCGATCGTCCGCTCATCTGTGTTAATTGCTTGAAGTGCAAGTCCTGCTCCACGACGAAAGTGTCCAAGTTTGTGGGCAACCTTCCCATGTGCACGGGCTGCTTTAAACTCCGCAAGAAGGGCAACTTTTGTCCCATCTGCCAGAGATGCTACGACGACAACGACTTCGATCTGAAGATGATGGAGTGCGGCGATTGCGGTCAGTGGGTGCATTCCAAGTGCGAGGGCCTTAGCGATGAGCAGTACAACCTGCTGAGCACGCTCCCGGAGTCCATTGAGTTTATTTGCAAGAAGTGTGCCCGGAGGAACGAGAGCTCAAGGATCAAGGCCGAGGAATGGCGACAAGCTGTGATGGAAGAGTTCAAGGCGAGCCTGTATAGTGTGCTGAAGCTGCTTAGTAAGTCGAGGCAGGCGTGCGCCCTTCTCAAGCTGAGTCCCCGCAAGAAACTGCGCTGCATTTGTGGAGCTGCTAGCCACGGTAAACTGCAGCCCAAAGCCTTGCAATTTAACAGCGGATCGGACAATGGTCTGGGCAGTGATGGTGAGTCGCAGAACAGCGACGATGTCTACGAGTTCAAGGAGCAACAGCAGCAGCTCCTGAAGAAGTCGCGGGTAAAGTCACTGCCCTGCTCCTGCCAGCCGTCGTCAGCCATCGGTAGTAGTCACAGCAGTCATCCGCAGTCCTTTAGTCTGGTGGAGATTAAGCAAAAGATTGCCGGGAACTCGTACGTTTCCCTCGCCGAGTTCAACTATGACATGAGCCAGGTGATCCAGCAAAGCAACTGCGACGAACTGGACATTGCCTACAAGGAGCTACTGAGCGAACAGTTCCCGTGGTTTCAGAACGAAACGAAGGCCTGCACGGACGCCCTTGAAGAGGATATGTTTGAGTCGTGCTCCTACGAAGACCTGCAGGATGCCGGCGCAGGAAGTGGCTCTGTGTACAATGAACACTCACAGCAGCAGACAGAGTCCCGATCGGGCGTCCTCGACATACCCCTCGAGGAGGTGGACGATCTGGGCGGTAGCTGCGGAATCAAGATGCGTCTGGACACCAGGGTGTGCCTGTTCTGTCGTAAGAGTGGCGAGGGTTTGTCCGGCGAGGAGGCACGTCTCCTGTACTGCGGCCACGATTGCTGGGTGCACACCAACTGTGCCATGTGGTCGGCGGAGGTGTTCGAGGAGATCGATGGTTCGCTTCAGAATGTGCACAGTGCGGTGGCCAGGGGCAGGATGATCAAGTGTACGGTGTGTGGCAACCGCGGAGCCACCGTTGGCTGCAACGTACGGTCCTGTGGCGAGCACTATCACTATCCCTGTGCGAGGAGCATTGAGTGTGCCTTTCTTACGGACAAGTCCATGTACTGTCCGGCGCATGCCAAGAATGGGAATGCCCTGAAGGCCAATGGTTCTCCCAGCGTCACCTACGAATCCAACTTTGAGGTGTCCCGACCAGTCTACGTGGAGTTGGATCGGAAGCGAAAGAAGCTTATTGAACCCGCAAGGGTGCAGTTCCACATAGGATCTCTTGAAGTTCGACAACTAGGCGCCATTGTGCCAAGATTCTCCGATTCCTACGAGGCTGTGGTGCCCATCAATTTCCTGTGCAGTCGGTTATACTGGTCATCGAAGGAACCGTGGAAGATAGTGGAGTACACGGTGCGCACCACTATCCAAAACAGTTGCTCCACCCTGACAGCGCTGGATGTGGGCAGGAACTACACTGTGGATCACACGAATCCGAATGGCAAGGAGGTACAGCTAGGGTTGGCGCAAATTGCACGCTGGCATAACAGCTTGGCCCGGAATGACCTCCTGGAGAGCGACTGGAGCACCGGGGAGTTCCCAAGCACGAACTCCTGTGTGCCGCCTGACGAGAACACAGAGGAGGAGCCGCAACAGCAGGCCGATCTGCTGCCGCCCGAGATCAAGGACGCCATATTTGAGGATTTGCCGCATGAACTGCTCGACGGCATCTCGATGCTGGACATCTTCATGTACGAGGATCTGGCGGACAAGACGGACCTGTTTGCCATTAGCGAGCAGTCCAAGGATGGCACTCAGGCGATGTCCTCCAATCAGACGCAGAGCCAGCAGGGTCAGCATCATGTGAGCATCTGCGACGAGGATACGAGGAACTCCAATACGAGCTTAGGCAATGGCGGTTGGCCGGCCAGCAATCCCGTGGAAGATGCCATGCTCTCGGCGGCCAGGAACTCGAGTCAGGTTCAAATGCTCAAGACACTGGCGTGGCCGAAGCTGGACGGGAATAGTGCCATGGCGAATGCCATCAAAAGGCGTAAGCTCTCCAAGAACCTGGCTGAAGGAGTGCTGCTCACGCTAAGCAGTCAGCAGCGCACCAAGAAGGAGATGGCCCATGTGGCCGGTGTGTCACGGAGGCAGTCCATCAGCGAGACAGTTTCCGTCGAAGGAGGAGCCACTACATCCGGCAGTGGATCGATGCGCAGCAAGAGCTTCACCTGGAGTGCGGCCAAGCGGTATTTTGAGAAGAGCGAGGGACGTGAGGAGCCTGCCAAGATGCGGATCATGCAAATGGACGGCGTGGATGATTCCATCACCGAGTTCCGTATCATTGCTGGCGATGGAAACCTTTCCACGGCTCAATTCACCGGGCAGGTGAAGTGTGAGAGGTGCCAGTGCACGTATCGCAACTATGACTCCTTCCAGCGTCACTTGCCCACATGCTGTGATCCCGCCATGTCTACCAGTGAGTCGGATTCGGATGTGAATGCAGCGACCAGCACCAATAATCCCGCGCAGCTGAGCGCCGAGAGCCTGAACGAACTGCAGAAGCAACTCCTGGCGAATGCCGGCGGTCTGAACTACCTGCAGACCACCACATCCTCGTTTCCGCAAGTCCAGAGCCTGGGTTCCCTGGGCCAGTTCGGTCTGCAGGGTCTGCAGCCTCTCCAGCTCCAGCCTCAGTCCCTGGGCAATGGGTTCTTTATCTCGCAACCGAATCCCACAACGCAAACGAATACGGATGAGCTGCAATTGTACGCGAATTCCCTGCAGAGTCTGGCCAATTTGGGAGGAGGATTTACCCTCGCCCAGCCAACGGTGACGGCTGCTCCAGCGCCTCAGCCCCAGTTGATAGCCGTTTCCACGAATCCCGATGGCACCCAGCAGTTCATACAGATTCCCCAGGCGCAAATGCAGGCCACAACGACGGCGGCGCCAACGGCCACATACCAGACGTTGCAGGCCACCAATACAGACAAGAAGATAATGCTCCCTCTGACGACAGCGGGCGGAAAGCCTCTGAAGACGGTGGCCACCAAAGCGGCACAGCAGGCGGCGGCCGCCAAGCAGAAGCAGCTGAAGTCCGGCCACCAGCAGGTGAAGCCCATTCAGGCCAAGCTGCAGCCGCATCCTCAGCAGCAGCAGCAGCAGGTGCATCAACAGGTGCAGCAACCAATCACGGTGATGGGCCAGAACCTCCTCCAACCGCAGTTGCTCTTCCAGAGCAGCGCGCAGGCGCAGGCGCCGCAGCTCATCTTGCCGCAGGCTCAGCCACAGAACATCATCTCCTTTGTAACGACGGGTGATGGCAGTCAAGGTCAGCCGCTTCAGTACATCTCTATACCAACGACGGGGGAGTACAAGCCGCAGCCGCAGCCAACGCAGTTCCTTACCACTGCTCCTGCGGCCGGTGGGGCGACCTATCTGCAAACGGATGCGAGCGGGAACCTAATGCTCACCACCACACCAACCAATTCCGGACTGCAGATGTTGACTGCACAGCCCCAAGTGATTGGAACACTGATTCAACCGCAGACGCTTCAACTAAGCGGAGCCACAGATGGCAGTCAGGCGGGCGGTGGCCATCATCATCAGCAGCAGGTGCAGCCCTTGATCTTGGGCGGCACAGGCGGCGGAGCCACTGGCCTGGAGTTTGCGACGACAACCACGCCTCAGGTGATCCTGGCCACTCAACCAATGTACTACGGCCTCGAGACAATCGTACAAAATACGGTGATGTCGTCGCAGCAGTTTGTATCCACCGCCATGCCCGGTGTGCTCAGCCAGAATGCCAGCTTCTCGGCCACCACCACGCAGGTGTTCCAGGCGAGCAAGATAGAGCCAATTGTGGATCATCTGCCCGCTGGTTATGTGGTGCTCAACAATCCGGGAGATGCCACGAGTGCCGGCACCACCTTCCTCAATGCAGCCAGTGTCCTCCAGCAGCAGCAGCAGCAGCAACAAACTCAGGATGATTCTGCCACACAGCAGCTGCTGCAGAATGCCAACTTCCAGTTCCAGACATCTGTGCCCAGTTCCTCGACAACGTCGTCCTCAACATCGATGGAATTCAGTTCACCGATGGTGGTCACGGCCAAGATTCCTCCGGTGACGACGCAACTGAAGCGGACGAATGCCCAGGCGAAGGTGGCGGGCATGTCCAAGGTTCCGCCACAGCCACAGGTGGTGGTTAACAAGGTGCAGCCCACCAGCATGGCCCAGGCGCAAATGAAGAGTTCCTCCGGTCTCAAGCAAGTCTCTCAGCAGCAGCAGATGAAGAGCATGAAGACGGCGGCGGCGGGAGGAACTGGAACCAATTGCGGAGCACCGCCCAGCATTGCTTCGAAGCCGCTGCAGAAGAAGACGAATATGATTCGACCCATACACAAGCTGGAAGTAAAGCCCAAGATGATGAAGCCCACGCCCAAGACGCAGGCGATGTTGCAGCAGCAACCACAACAGCAGCAGCAACATCATCCTGCCGTAGTGATCAGCAGCCAGGTGCCCAAGGTTGTTCAGCAGCAGCAACAGCGTATTCCGGCTCAGCCACAGCAGCAGCAGCAGCAAACGCAGGCCACAGCGCAGCTACTCCACATCCCGCAGCACCCACAGCAGACACTCCAGCTCCAGCAACAGCAGCAGCAGCAACCGGTGCAAGTCCAGTCCTCCATGCCGATCATAACCATTGCCGAGGCAACGCCAGTGTCAGTGCCAACGATCCAGAACCAGACGCAATTTGTTGTAGAGGAGCAGCCGCAGCAGCAGCAGCAGCAGGATTTGCTAAATCGTGTGCAGGTGCAGCACTTTGCCAGCAGCAACAACAACAGCAACACAGGGAGCAGTAGCAACTGCAACAGTGTGCTGCCCACCAATGTGGTGAATCCCCTGCAGCAACAGGCGCCACCAACCAGTAGCAGTAGCTCCACCACGCGCCCCACAAACCGTGTGCTCCCTATGCAGCAGCGCCAAGAGCCAGCTCCTCTAGCCAACGACTGTTCTGTGGCCCCGTCGCCTACACCACCGCCGAAGCCTCTCGAACAGCAGTTAATCCCACATCAGTTGACCAGTGTGAGTGCTCCGTCCAAGTGTTACGCTCAATTGAAGGCTGCATCGTCGCCCTCGCCCGTTTACGAGACGGAACTAAAGTCCGTGCCGGGCCTGGAGAGCATTGTGCCGGTAGTTGCCCACATGGATACCATTCTGGAGGAGCAACCGGCCACAGAGTCCATATATACCGAGGGGCTGTACGAGAAGCATTCGCCAAGCGATGCGAAGACGGAGCAGTTGCTCTTGCAGCACCAGCAGCGTGAGCAGCTGAGTCAGCAGCTTGCCAGCAACGGGTACAGCTTGCATTTGGACAAGCATAGCTTCCAGGCCATGGAGGTTATGGAAACGGATGCTTATAACAACCACGCGGATGATGATCTCGACGAGGAACTCGACGAAGACGATGACGACGAGGAGGATGAAGATGAGGAGGATGACTTCAGCCTCAAGATGGCCACCTCGGCATGCAACGATCACGAGATGTCCGATAGCGAAGAGCCGGCGGTGAAGGATAAGATTAGCAAGATTCTCGACAACTTGACCAACGATGACTGTGCGGACTCCATAACCACGGCCACCACAATGGAGGTGGTGGAGGCTAGCACTGCAGGCTATCAACAGATGGTGGTGGATGTCCTGGGCACCACAGCTGCTGCAGCGGCCCCAGAGTTCGAGGAGGGTGGTCTGCTGGAAACGGATGCCGTGGAAGCAGCTGCCAGCTACATCAACGAAATGGCAGCTCAAGTTCTAGAGCTCAAGCAGTTGCAGAATGGAGTGGACCTGGAGCTCAGGCTTAGGCGGAAGCAGCAGCAGCAGCAACAACAACAGTCACAAGAATTGGAGCCTGTAAAAGGAGTGACCATGGTGCCGCCGCCCACACTAGGTGCTCCCGAACCACCGACGACGCCGCCACCCGTTCGAGAGCCAAGGAAAATAAGTGGTCCCCATCTTCTATACGAGATCCAAAGCGAAGACGGTTTCACCTACAAGTCCACTTCGATAGCAGAGATCTGGGAGAAGGTGTTTGAGGCGGTGCAGGTGGCCAGGCGAGCCCATGGCCTGACACCGCTGCCAGAGGGTCCGCTAGCGGATATGGGCGGCATTCAGATGATTGGCCTGAAGACGAACGCGCTGAAGTATCTTATCGAACAGCTGCCGGGCGTGGAGAAGTGCTCCAAGTATACGCCCAAGTATCATAAGCGGAATGGTAACGTTTCGACGGCAGCGAGTATTGGTCAAGGCGGCGGCACTTGCGGAGGAGGTGGAGGAAGTGCCAGGGCAGCGGCGGCTGTTGCTGTTGGAGGCGATGCCCACCACAGCCTGCTCGACTATGGCTCTGATCAGGAACTGGAGCTGCAGGAGAATGCCTTCGAGTGTGCCCGCTGTGAGCCGTACGCCAATCGCAGCGAGTACGACATGTTTAGCTGGCTGGCTTCCAGGCATCGCAAGCAGCCCATCCAGGTGTTTGTCCAACCGTCGGACAATGAACTGGTGCCCAGGTGAGTTACTGGGCAATTTCCTTTGGGAACAAGTCTTCTAATCAATGCTTTCAGGCGAGGAACTGGCAGCAATCTACCCATGGCAATGAAGTATAGGACTCTGAAGGAGACCTACAAGGATTATGTTGGCGTCTTTCGCTCACACATCCATGGACGTGGTCTCTACTGCACCAAGGATATCGAAGCTGGTAAGAATACATCAAGCTTTTAAGGGTGAAACAGTGTGGATAAAAATTGCTTTTCTTCGTAGGTGAAATGGTCATTGAATACGCTGGCGAGCTCATCCGGTCCACGCTAACGGACAAGAGGGAACGATACTATGATGGCCGCGGCATCGGTTGCTACATGTTCAAGATCGATGACAATCTGGTAGTGGATGCCACAATGCGCGGCAATGCGGCCCGCTTCATTAATCACTCCTGTGAGGTAAGTACTCCATCTATTCTATATTCACGAAAGGATACCTTAAATATCTATTTTTGTTGCAGCCAAATTGCTACTCCAAGGTAGTGGATATACTCGGACACAAGCACATCATCATCTTTGCCCTGCGCCGCATTGTACAGGGCGAGGAGCTTACCTACGACTACAAATTCCCCTTCGAGGAGGAGAAGATACCCTGCTCATGCGGCTCCAAGAGGTGTCGCAAGTACTTAAATTAGAAACGGAATGGGGCAAATAGGAACGCTGGGCGTTCAGTAAAAAATCTACATACTCAGAGCGAGAATTTAGGGGTTGTCAACACAAAAAGAGTAAGTAATCTTATGGGCAATGTATTCATAAACTATAGGTAGGGATGGCTAAAAATCTCAAAATAATCTATATATGGATTTTGATCCATATATCAATATTTTAATATTGCGATAAATCCATATTCGGTTTGATATATGTATAAATTCAATCCAGTTTTCGATAACATCGACATTTTTATCATTTATTTAGTCTTTTTCCTCGATATATGTACGTCCCGAATTTTAGATACTTTCATTTTGTTAACAGATAAAAAATCATGACTTTTTTGAGTCAGATTATTGTTATTAATAAATTTCACAAACATCACGTAGTTTCTTAAAACTATGCAAGTCCTGTCGCACTTTTAAAACTCTTTTATTAAAATGTTAAAGATAGTATTCAATTTGCATGACCAACTAGGGAACATCTTATTGAGCTGGCTTTTGTACATTTTAATAGAATTCCAGTTTTATTTTTATTAAATTTCTAGAATATTTAAATTTTAACTCAATTTACGAACGCTCAAACGGATTCCTTTAAGAATAAAAAATCTAAACAGACATTGCCCATAGATTACTTACGGTGGAATCACAACCCCGACACACACCTGGAATTGTGAAATGTGAAACACTTGTAGTTAACGAAAGATGGAAAGTTATTTCGATCTATGTATATGTTTTGGTCCAATCGTGATATACTTTTTCGTTTTATGTAGTCCCCGAAATATATACTTCTTAAGCAGTTAAGATAAGAGAGTTGAAAACAGTTGATATTATACGAGTATATACATATATCCAAAATATCTGAAAAGAGATCATATGGCAACGAAGGCAACACAGAAACTCGACGATGTCAGTATTCAGGAGGAAAGGGGGAGGTGGAATTAATTGTATATTAAATATGTTACGGATATGATACATTACGTAGATTTTACTAAGGCTCCGTACAGATTCTATATATAAACTCGACGACTAATTAACTAAACTAAGCTGATTAATATACATATAAAACACTTGTTGTGCTTAGGCGAATGATGAACGTATGAAAACGATTAACTTACAGGGGCTTTTGTGTTAGATTGTAAATATATTGCATGCGGAAACATAAATATCTCTACATATTATTAATGTACAAGAAAATGAAAAGAAATTAACTTAAGTCTAACCAAGATTGTGTATAAGAAGAAAACTATTTTAATGTAGAAAGAGCTCGAGGGGCGTATTTATGTTTGATTAAAGCTACGAATTAATATCCGCTAAAACACAATGCTTATATATATACTTATATATTATATATTTAGAGAAGGAAACCAAGCATCACCCCCTTGAAATTACCGAACAGAAACCACAAATTGTAATTGTATATTTATTATTTAACACCTTAAGTTGTAAGTTTTAAGCAATGTACATTTCTGTTTGCCTAGAAAATCGGAGCATACAAGTATCATACACACACAGACACAGCAGGAATGCCACAGAAGTTGCTGTAAATCACTTAAAAAACGGTTCGAATAATCCAAATTCAAATAATATTATATTATGTATGAGCGACTAGCTGTGGCACCCCTGCTGATAATCGTAATAACCTTAGTTCTTCAGCAGCTCCCGATTGTATTCTACTTAGTTTAACACGATTTATGTTTCGCTCTTAAGACTCTAGCATTATATAGTCCGCTCCTGGTATTTTGTCCAAAATTGTATCATGTATATTCCTAGCCAGCGCGATCGGTCGGACTTGTACAGAGGCAAAACACACACAAAAAAAAGTTCCATAGCATTTTTTCTGGCAGCCATTCAATGAGACGAGCGCGCACCTTTTTTGGCACGCTGTTGTCGAAGGAATTTTATATTTTTATTCCCTAAAGAAAAAAAAGTTTAATAAAAACTACAGATTAAAATTTAAAATGGAACACTTGTCTTTATGTTTTTAAACAAAAATGGGATAAATGGCGCATAAAATATCATTATTAAATGTAAAGTAAGTAATATATATAATATAAGTAATATGGAAGTAAAAATAATTCATTCGAAATTACTTCTATTTCGGATTTTTAAAAATATTAGAATATATTATATATAGATTTATAAATTAATATATTAATTGCGATTCCTTTTTCCCTTTTTTAACAAAAAATATATTATATATACATACCACTATTTTTATTAACTTACGTAAATATAATATCCCAATATTTGTGTTGCAAGTTTAGTCATTTTCAAATTTTAATATGGCGCAAAAATTTTCGCCATCGGTAAGTGGCCACACTTTAAGGGCTGAATATACCAGCGTTGCCAGACTGTGTCATAATTTTATAGCAAAGTTGTTTATAGCAGATCAACAGCTGTTAATGGCAAGTCGAAAACGTTCATACTGCCGGTGTTGTTTTGTTTTCAATCTTAATGTAAATATTTCTTATTTTTATATTAAAATATCTTTGAAAGCAATGTTAATACGAAGAATAAAGTGCCTCGGAATCTTGGGTATTCGCCACAACAGTTCGCACTACGTGACAACGCCAATTTTCTACGTAAATGCCGGTGGGTAATATCAATATTAAATTATTAGATAATACTTATTAAACTTATTGTTGCATTGTTATTAGCTCCACACATAGGCCACCTGTATTCGGCGGTTATAGCCGATGCCCACTGTCGCTACCAGCGATTGAGGCAACCAAGGAGTCTCCGCCAGGTGCGGCTCTGCACGGGAACGGACGAGCATGGCACCAAGATTCAGCAAGCGGCGGAGGTTCATGGAATACCAGTGGCCACATACTGCGACCAGATATCGGAACGGTATCGGGAGGTCTTCCGGAATGCTAATATCCAGACGGATGACTTTATACGCACTACAGAGCAGAGACACAAGCGGGCGGTGGCCCATTTCTGGGTGAGATTAGCCATAATCCTGTCATCCATTCGGTTGGACTTTATGATTAGTATAATCTCCTAGCGGACCTTAAACTCCCGTGGACACATTTATTCGGCGGCCTACAGCGGCTGGTATTGCGTCTCCGACGAGACCTTCCTCACCGACTCCCAACTGCGCTTGGACGAGACCACCGGCACGCGCTACTCGCTGGAATCTGGACATCCCGTCGAGTGGACGGAGGAGACCAATTACATGTTCCGTTTGTCGCATTTCCAGGATGATGTGCGTCACTGGGTCAAGCAGGAGGCACGTATCCGTCCGCCAAAGTTCGAGAAGATCCTGCTTGATACTCTCAGTGAACCTCTGCCGGATGTGTCGGTGTCGAGGCCCTCCAACCGTGTTCACTGGGCCATTCCGGTGCCCGATGACGATACACAAACGGTCTACGTTTGGCTGGATGCCTTGGTTAACTACCTGAGCTCTCTCGGCTATCCGGATGAGGGTGTGAGTATGGCATGCCTTCTCCTGTGGCGACTTATCCTTCGACAATCTTTTTGCTCCTCCTCTTTAGTTCTCTGCCCACTGGCCTCCCGCACAGCAGGTGATTGGCAAGGATATCCTAAAGTTCCATGGCATTTACTGGCCGGCATTCCTCCTAGCCGCAGGTTTGGAGCCACCGCATCAGCTTTATGTCCACTCGCACTGGACGGTGGATGGGCAAAAGATGTCAAAGAGCAGGCACAATGTGGTGGACCCCGTCCAGGCAGCCCAGCAGTACACCATGGAGGGATTGAGATATTTCCTACTACGCGAGGGCGTGGCCCACAGCGATGGCAGTGAGTGAAAATTCTATCTTTGATGTCGTGTCTCTGTGGCTTGTTCACTTTGTGGCTGCAATGGTTCGAAGGGGGTGGTGTGTGCCGGGCGGTCCCTGCGGTTATTCAAATAGTTTTTCCATCAAATTATCAACCGAAACTGTTCCGAGGTTTGCCTGGTCGTTAGTTTTACCTTTTGCTTTAAATTTGCATTTCAATTTGATGCCCGAACTGAACCGTAAAAGGGGAACAAAGTTTTCATCTGGTCTGGGAGCAGCCAGCCTGACTTTTGTTTATTTGTGACGCAAAGTTTTCGCATTGAGAAGACGACGAATCTCTGCATTTGCATACGTCCTGGGGAAAACAATTGTGCCAAGTTTCATCCCCCATACTGGATTGTCTGGTCACAGATATATCACAGGTTGTGCGATTTGTATATATTCAAAAATATCGCATTTAATGTTGGAATACCGATATTATAGAGAAATATTTTATAGCTTATATATTGCTACGTTAAATATTTATTTAGACTTCGCCATCTTAATATCCATAGACTTTTATCTCTATATATTCAAATTATTAACATAGTAACGCAAACTTTAAAACAGAGAACGAAAAACAAAAAACGTTAATAGATATAATAGAATTTAAATTCATAGAAATAATCCAGTACGGTTCATCTTAGAGCCACCGTAACTCTGCTGCACCTGCGCACGGCGGACTGCCCTCATTACGGCTTCCTTTGTCTTGTCGAAATCGGCCTGGGCATCGGCCACACGACGGGTGGCATTCGCCACACGCATCCTGGCTGCCTTCAAGAGCTGTGTATGTTTGTCCAGTTGCGCCTGCGCCTCATTGGCCACTTTCTTTCTCTTGGCCAGTTTGTTAGCGATTTTATCAGCAATATTCTTCATCTGATTCAGCTGAGACTCGGCCGCCTTAGCTGCCGTTTTTGCCGCATTGGCAGTGGCCTGTGTGTTCACCAAGGACGTGGAAGCTTGGACGACCACAGCATTCGCCGCTTTCACATCCTTTAAGATCAATTGGAATTATCTTTATGTTTGATAGTATTTATAATGCAAAATCGAACCTGCTGCAGCCGTTCCACCGTAGCCTCTGCTTCAAGAACGCACTGGGACGCACTGTCGGCCAGTTTGGTTTTCTCCTTCAAGGCCGCCGCATCTGCTGCTGGGGTCTGATCATCTTTGGCATTTTGTTCCGTCAAATTTGGAACCGTTTCCCCGGAATCGGTGAGGATTAGGCCATGTTCTGATCCTTCTACGTTTGATAATCCTCCGTCCACTTCGTCCACTTTGGGCTGTACGAACCGAATGTCCAGGACGATGTCCAAGGTGGGAATCAAGTGGATAAGACACAAAAGAGTAAATAGAGCTGTTGAAACAGACATTTTTTCTTCTCGAAAATTTTTGATAGGCCAATAGAATAGAATGACTTCGAATTGGAACTGTGTTCAGACTTTTACAAAGAATGCAAAACGTATGTGATTTCTATACACATAAATTCGATATGAAATTGAAGAATAAAATATTTTTGACCTTAGCAAAATAAGAAAAATATTGTATTAAATTGATTTGCTTCTTTTTTCGATATATCACTAAAACTAAAGATTTATGTATCGACTTCCCGCCAAAATATCGATTTAGTATCAATTTTAATGCCATCCCTAATTCCGCTTCATATTTTTGGGGTTATTGAAAGCAATTAATGGACTCCACCAACTGTCACCTTTGGCTGCGTTTTGGATTGACTTTCCCCAGATTTTTCCAATTTACATAAATTGCTTATGTATGTGTGTGTGTGGAGCTACCCCTCGTGCCAGCTCTTAAAATTTAATTTCCAATTATTGCTGACTCTTTGGCTTTTCCGCAATGGATTTTCCCAGACGGCAGGCGTCTGCTTTTCACGTTTTCGCCTTTATTCAATTTGCGTTTGTTGATGTTTTTATTTTTTATTATACTTTTTTTTATGTGCCCCCTGCCTTGCGGCTAATTTAATTGCATTTTTATTGCATTTGAACCTGCCAGCAGCGAAAATGGAAAACGAAAAATGGAAAATACAGTGCGTCGCATTATTAAATTACAAGCACATTTTGCATATATTTCTTTTCGGGGCGAGCCATGAATGATTTATTTTCTTTAATTCGAGTCCAACGGCCGTCCATTATGTTCGCTTTTAGGCGGAAAATGCCACCAAATTCGATTTTGTGTGACATCCGGTCGTCATAACGCCATTAAATGCTCAAGTTTTCATTACAGGCCGCAAACTTCCGTTAACATAGAAACTGCATTTCGACTTCGTCGAACATGGCAGCTTGGGGGCACAGGACTAGCAGGACCTGCAACATCCTGCGGTTCTTGGATAGAAAAAAAAAGAAAGTTGATGCGCACGGGAAGAGAAAACTGGTGGTGCGTTGAGATGCAATCAACTTCCCCTCGGGCTTCACTCAATTTAAGAAATTTGAATACTTAAACTTGTCTAACTGAGGATTGCCATTGTTGTTATTCTACCAGCGGAAACACTTTATAGTTGTCCTCTTTTGAGTAAACAGGAAACAACACTTATAGGTTCTTATTTATATATTCTATGCGATTCCCAGAACAGTTGACCATTTGCAAAAAGTTTTAGCGATCATCAAATGATATTTTATTACCATTAAAAGCTTTTTACAGACTTGAGGTCAAGCTGGTTATATTAAAAGCATTGGAATTCGGGTATATAATAGTTTCGAGCAGATATTGAATGAAATGTAGCTCAGCCTAGAGTTAGGCATTAGGTTTAACTGATTTTGATAAAGATTGAACGTTTTAACATCAGGCGATTTAACTAATATGTATAATTTACTTTTCACTTACGTCATTACTATCCTCAAATGATATTAAATAATTGAATATTTATTATTAAAGTATTTAAAGGCGTGTGTCTGTTCTCTGTGTCTTGAGAGACATTCTCCGTCCCACGCTAATTGTGGTTGAAGGGGCCTCATCTGCGGGAAACGGATAAATGATTAGTGAACTTTCTTTAAAAAATTCTTAAATAAATTCAAGTTTTTACTCACATCCCGTGTTGCTGCACAGGGTCCTGCCATTGAGCGCGAAGAAGATCAACTTGGGCAGCTCATTGTCCTCAATGTCCTGGAAGCACACGTACATTTCAGCCTTGCTTCCGCTCTGAATGTTGGCAACCAGTTCCCCCCTAGAAGGAAACGGATCTAGTTGGTTCACTTGATCCTTTTGATATGCATTATTTTGTCATTTATCTTGGGATTTCAGTATGTTTCTTTATGTTTATTACCTTATGGGCGCCGCGTGCTGAGAACTTTGCCTGCCAGTAAAAGTTTTTGATGTTTGCTCTGTCGGCTGTAAAGATGCCTATATGAGTTCTACCATGATCCAAAACGCTGTATTTGAAATATTCGCAATTGTTCTCTGGTTTATTCACGGCCAAGGCGAAGTTCAAGCCAACGAGAAGGGAAAACAGCAGAGGAGCGATCGACATTTTCAAGAAGTTGTGATGATGGAGGCTCGATGTAAACTGTGATTAACAGCTCACATTTGTTGAGCTCTTCGCTTATCAGTCAGAAGAAAATTCACTGACGAGAATATTATAATCTAGGAATTAATTCAGTGCTTAAGCAGAATACATTTAATTGATAAACCGATTTTCATCATAAATATATATATTAAACTCTTTACTCGTTTATATAAGTTGACTCAGTAGTTTCTTCTTATCAATTGTTTCTACTTGCACTTCATTCTTAGTAAATCAGAGCTCATTAGTCTCATCTCTGTTTATTTTTCATTCAAGTTTTATTCGTTTGAGTTCACTTTTAAGCTGAAATCCCTGATAATCAGAGTTAATTTATTCATTTTTCATCAAAGCAAACAATAGTTGTTTTCTCTGGTTTTTTGACATTTATTTAACCTCATATTTTTCACACCTTTTTAGCCATCTAGGTATTCAATCCAATCCGGCTAGTAATTCCCTTGAAGGGATGACAAGAAATTAGTGTTTTTGGGCCCATAACCTGGGGCATGGCAAATTTTCCTGTCTCCGATTGCATACAGAGAGGGAAGAAAGGAGGAGGCTTGTTAAATATTTAATGGCTACACTTGTGTACCACCTCCACATTCAATATCCAACACCCACCTCCACACTTAAAGCCAAGTTGTGCTGGAAAAATACGAGGAAAAGTGTGTCAAAGTTCCTCAGGCAATAGATGGCAAACTGGAGCAGCGACAAGTTGCTCGAGTTATTTAAGGTGCAGCAGCCTGTGTGCATCCGAAGTGCAGCTCTCGGGCACGTAAAAAAGTATTATTTATATTACCATTTCCAGTGCCAAAAAGAGCAGAGTAGCATTTGTCAGAGGCCAGAAGGAAGAACTTCCTTCAAACCCCATCAGTGTTGCTGAAATTGGGCTAACAACTAGGTTACTCTGAGGGATTTGCAACTGATTTACTTGAAACTTTGTTATTTTAGCATATACTTGTTTAGTTTCAATCTTAATTGGTTTTTACCATAGTCAAAAGTAGAATATTGTTTATTAGTATAAGATTCTTATTGATGCTCATATGTGTTAACCTTAAATTTACCTGTTTTTTGTTGGCTTAGGACCCAGGTAGCTATGATCTCCACCTGCATTCAATTCCACACACACCTGTCCCGGTCACGTGTCCACATGTGCAGCATATGGATGTGCTTTAAAGGCGGAGTGGCAAGTGTTGTACACGGCTTCCTGGCAACCCCTCCTCCGTCAGCAACTTTTGCTGCATTCGCTGCAATTTGTAGTTGCTCACGTAAGCAGTTAAGAGTTGCCCGGATCCGGATCCGGGTCCGGAACCGAGTACGGACTGCGGAGGAAGCAAGGCAGGTTGAAACACAACATGTGTTGCGGGCGGCCTCCTTGAACAATTTCATTAGAACGCTCGATACTCGATTTGGCAGCGAAAGGCAGCTAATAAAGTTTGATGCAATTCGCATTTTGCATTTTGGATACTCAACCCCACGGCCCAGGCAGGCAGCCTGAACGTTTGCAGTGCCATCAAAATTCCAATGCATTCAAAATGAAAAGGCTGCCAATCGGTTTCCCGTTGAGTCCATAAAAAAGTTGGCCACAGGACTTGATGGCTACCTCTTCAAAGTCTTTCATTTGGTTTTCATTTGTTGATGGAATGTTTTAGAAATTCAGCCAGCAGGAGGTTATTTAGTTATTTTATTTGAGAATTTTTGCACATAAAGCGAGGCTTACAGTACTTAAATTAGTTTTAAATACGACAGTTTACGAGCAGAAGTTATATTTTTGCATATTTAAAATACCTAATTTCCTGTTCTTCTTTTGGATTTAGTGAATATTACTTGTGAATATAATTTGTTTAATTAGAAACCCTAAAATGAATGGAATTTTCTCACTTTTAAACCTTGAAGTTATTTAAAAGGTAACCCCTTGTCCCATACCACAAATTCCCAACTTCAGTTGCTTGACACGAATTTGATTTTTGGCTAAAGGAAACTAACGTCTATGCATGTGAATTCAACGCAATGGAAATGCAAATGAAAATGAAACTCGACTGAACTCAACTCAACTCGACTCGACACACTCTTTCATTTGGATTCAGTTGACAAGCGGAAAACTTTGCTTTCCTTTTTTCCTTTCCACTCCTCTCCTGCTGCCGTTGCTTCTTCCATTTGCGCAACAAATTAATGTTGCAGGCAGGCATTCTATTTTTTTGTGGCATTTTCCCGAGAGAAGGAGCAAGGTAAAAGGAAACCCCATTCGGGGGAGAAGAAAAACCAAACAGGGGGAAATGGGGAAAGTTGCGAATGCACAATAGGTGTGTGTGTGTGTGTGCTGGTCTTGGAATTATAGCCATTTTTGGTTTTTGTTACCCACTACAAAATCCGAAATCCGACCATCAAATGGCTGAAATTCGACCAGCAAACAGAAGCTGGTCAGCAGCAATTATACGATTATTGTCTTTGCAGGCAGAGTATGCTAGTTTTAATTACCAAAAGGCTGCAGTGGAAACTTAGGGTCGATTGTCCTTGTTTTTAATTTCATTTTGATGGGTTGCATTCCAATTAGCTCATAAAATAAGGCATAAAGCGCAGGATGTTGCATGGCAGATTCCGAATTAATTTAATGCAGTCTTTTTATCAAAATATGGAGCTTTAAATATTATTATTATTATTATTATTAATGGCCATCAAATATTTTTTAAATATTTTACTCCAAGTAAATTCCTTTCAAGTTTTCCCCCTCTGGAGTACATTATACTTATTTTGCTGGAAATCAAGACCAAGCTCTTTGCCGGGACACTCCATTATCTCTTACACTATCCTGTCCTATCCCTTCATTTTCCTTTAGGGCAAAAGATTGTGCAACTATTAGCGGAGCTTAAATCCTTTCGTGTTCGGATTTGCCATGCTGCTGCCACAAAAGCCACCTGCAGCTTCATTTTGTCGTGGCCAAGAAAACGGGGAAAA